GTTGGTACATTTGTTTGTTGGTACATTTGTTTGTTGGTACATTTGTTGGTTCGTTTTTTGGTTGGTTTGTTCATTCCATTAGCAAAATATCAGAAGAATTCCTGAACAGATTTCATTGAAATAAGTTTGACTTTTCATCAAACAGCGGTTAACTTTTGGAGTCAATATGATTCAAGAAGCTGCCACAGATGAGCAACTTCAGCAAACACACAAACCGCTATAACTCAGTCAACGTTTTAGACACAGAGCTCAAATTAGATGTAGTGGTAGCTGAGAGTCATATGCAACATATACTCTGAATGATAACTGATTGCTCAAGATCTTATTTTAAAACTGAGCCATTAACTATTGAAGTAAATTACGTCTGTTAGCAAAATGTCTTATGAACCAGTGGATGGATTTTAATAAAACTTTTCAGAAATAATCATTTAACATGTATAACCAATTATTTTTCAGAGCCAATCTATTTCAAGATGGCTGCCACAGCTATTGAATCTTAGAAAACACAACACTGGCTATAATGGCGTTAATTTGACAAATATTCTACTAAACTTTGGTGTGGTAGTAGCAGAGTTACTCACAGCACGTACCCAAAGTACCACTCATTAAATAAAATCTTTGCTGAAAACTTTGGAATCAATCATGAACTGCTAGACCGATTTTAATAAAACGTTCAGAAATCGATTATTGAAATTGTCTCTACAACTGAATAACTTCTGCAGATATTCCAGTTCAAGATGGCCATCACATTTAACTGCTGAGAACAAACACAGAAAGGGTGGTGCCTCTGTCAGTTTACAGGCATTCAGCTAGAAGGTGGTGTGGTAGTAGCTGAGGGTCATTCACATCACATACTCTGAATGTGACATCATGCGGTTAACATTATTTTCAAGGTTTGACCAAAATGGCTATAACTTGTGTCGTTTTTCAACCAAAGATGATCTTAATCAAGTGTCGGCCATTATGCACTCCTTTAAGAAATGCTAGGTCTTAATTCAAGCTCACATTTTATATAAATTAGCATCGTGTGGCAATTGGTTTTAAAGTTGACTGAGGTCAGTGAATGCCTCATGGTAATATGAATACAAGCCGGGACCTTTTTTAAGCAGTCATGCTTGATTATTTTACTTTTTCACTGCGTTGATAGTAATTTCTTCGCACTTCTCTGCTGTCGTAGCATCTCAGACACACCGCTGACCAAATTCTTTGATATTTCTTTGTGTTTTGTTTCAGGCGAGCCGTTCACGGACCGGAGCCGCCTCAGCAGCCTATGGGACAGGAGGAATCAGAGCTGCCCTTTGACAAGGAGCTGGATGTGAAGCTGACCGTACCATCGAGTCAAAACCAGCCGGGGAGGTCGTCGCCTCTGCCTGCCTCAGGTACAAACAATGTTTCTTCGAAGTCGTCACTAATTGTGATTTTATTTCTTTCTTTGTGCTGGTGCTGAGACGTGTTCCAGTGGTGCGCCTCTCCGCACTCTGATCATCTCACCCAGCATGGCGGAGTGGAAACCTTCAGATTCATATATCCTCTGATCTTTGAACAACAGCAGAGATAATGTCCAAATGTGATAAAATCCAAAACAATCTGAAGAAAAAAACTCAGACTGTAACTAGAGAAATTGCGTTTCCTGCAAAAATGCAGTGTGAATGTTGATTGCTGAAGAACTTGCTGAAAAACAGCTGAAATGTACCTGAAATGAAAGAACAAGCCTAAGTTAGCAGAAGATAGCAGAAAGTACACATACTTGCTGAATTAGATTTGGGGAGTGGTGGCGCAGAGGTTAGAGAGGTGGGCCTGTGAGCCGAAGATCGCCGGTTCACTCCCCGGCACCGACAACATCAAAATTGTGGGTGGGGTAGGTGAAGCACCCACACTTACCCCCACCTTGAGCAAGGCTTTTAACCCCCAATCTACTCCCTAAACAGGTCTCTCTTGAAAATGAGTTCTCGTGGCTCACTGAGACTACCTGTATAAATAAAGGGTAAATATATATATATAAAAAAAGCAGAAGTGAGCAAGCAAAGTAGGAAATGAGCTAAAAATATCTGAAAAGTAGCTGAAAAGGCAGAAAGAAGCTTAAACTATCAGATGAAAGTGAAAGGAGCTGAAATAAGCCAAACAAATGTGGAATTAGCTGAAAAAGCTCAATTTAGCACAAAACGGCTAAATAGTAGCTGAAATAGCAGAAAAAGCTAAACCTATCAGAAATAAGGTACAAGGTGCAAAACAAGCTGAAATTAGCAGAAAGAACTTAATTAGGCTGAAAGTAGCTAAAATTACCATGAAAAACTTGAATTTATCTGAAAACAGCTGAAATTAGCTAAAAAAAAAAAAAAGCTAAAAAGTTATCTGAAAATGTAGAACCAGCTTAAATTAGCATAATAAATCAGAAAGAACATGTTTGCCCAGTTTGGCTGAAAGGAGCAGAAATTAACAAAAAAAAAGTGGAAATTATCTGAAAAGCTGAAATTAGCAACAAAAAAAACTAACAAAACAAACCTCTAAAGCAGCTAAAAAATCTACTAAAAATGTTTTTTGTATTGAACGTTTTTTGAATACAGCTAAAAAAGTCAGACGCTTAAATTACCAGAAGGAAGTGGAGAGAGCACATTTTTGCTAAATTAGGCTGAAAAAAGTTAAAATGACTGCATCAAATTTGTAATTAGCTGAAAAAGCTAAAATTAGCATATAACAGTTAAATAGTAGCTGAAATAGCAGAAAAAGCTGAAACTTGCAGAAAGAAGCTGAAAGAAGCTTAACAAGCTGAAATTAGCAGAAAGAAGTTAGAAGCACAAAAAAAATGAGAAAGGAGCACAAAACAGCTGAAAAAAATCAGCTGAAAGTAGCTGAAAGTAGAAAAAAATAGTTTAAATTTGTACAAACAAGCTGAAAAAAGCTGAACCAGACAGAACAACATGTGAAAGGAGCAGATAATATAAATGGATCTAAAGATTTGAAGGATGTAAAATGAGCTCCATTCGTTTTGAATGAGGGAAAAAATGGCAGAAAAGGCTAAATAGTTCAAAAATCTAAAATTGCACCATTACTAAAAGCTGGATTGTCCTGAAAGAGCTGAACATTTTGATTTATGATTTACTGAAATAACTTAAAAACTGCAGGATGAGAATCGTGCTGAAATGCGTACGGAAGAAAAATGGATCACACGCTTCATAAACATTCACACAATTAAAGACTTTCAGTCTTGGTGCAGTTAAAGGGCCAGCCGGCCTTTTACGTCCCTTTTATCAGAGTATGTTCATGGACAGCAGCGTGTTGCAGTGCAGGCTTGTTCAGGTTTGTGTGTCTTCATGTTCCTCAGGAGAGTTTAGGAGTTTAGGAGGTTTGAAACTCTCGCCGAAACTCCCGAGGGACCGCTCGCCGTCCTTCAGGACTCCGTCACCTCTCACGTTGAACCAGGAAAGAACAAGCGTCTCCTCCTGTCCTGAGATGGTGGGACACACGGTGAGAGCACAAGAACATTTATCTTTAGCTCCGTCAGATTTAATGGAGTTCATTTATTCACACATTTCTCTCTTTCCAGGCTAATAAAGAGACCAAGAAGATCTCCACGAAAGGTAATTTTAGGTTCTTAAAGTAATGATTTCAGTTGAACGCTTGTTTCAAAAGAAACGTTTCAAAAGTCAGTGACAGAAACAAAGTTTTGTGATGATCCTAATAAAAATCAGCTGCTGAGGTCGTTTGCTTTTTATATTTGTGTTTTTCCAGGAATGACGACAGCTCTTAGCCGGCGCCGGGTGTCCTGCCGAGAGCTGGATCATCCCGACTGCGACGGCTGGTTGTGGAAGAAAAGAAGAGAGAGCAGCGTCTTCATCACCCAGAAGTGGCAGCGCTTCTGGTTTGTCCTCAAGGGGCCCAATCTTTACTGGTTCAACTCCCAACAGGTGGTCCAAACCCGAGTTTTAATACGTAAAACAGAACTGCGTTCACATTCTAATGTGTATTTTCTGTTGTCCAAACACGCAGAATAATGATGAGCTTCAAATTAAACACGAACATAAATGTTGTTTGTCCAGGATGAAAAGGCGGAGGGTCTGCTTAACATCTCCAGCTACAACGTAGAGAGCGCTGGAGAGCACAAGAGAAAATAGTAAGAACGAGAGGTGAAAGCTGTGCTGAATGACTGAAGAAGCCGAAACTGAGCTGTTTCAGCTAAAAGTAGCAAAAGAAGGCGAAACTAGAGCAAGAACACTGAAGTAGATTTAAAAAAATGAATGTTTCTCAACAAAATGGCGCTCTAAAGGTATCGTAATTTCTGGACTATTGAGTGCACCCACGCCTACTAAATAAATTAGCCACGCCCACTAAATAAAAATAATAATAATTTGGTACATGTTTAGGCTGCGCTTGTCTAAGCCGCAGGTGTCCACGTTGTAAGATGAGATACTTACGCAGAAATAATTTTTAATCTTTTAATTAAATATGTACCGTAACCTACAGAAATATTTACAGTAAATGTTTTTTTTTTTCTGAACAGTGCCTGTTATGACGGAGCTTTAGGGCCACGCTAAAAGAAAAATAAAATAAAATTACATTGCCATGCTAAGAAAACAAAAATTAAAAGCCATAATATTACGAGAATAAAGTCGTATGAGACTTTTAATTTTTTTATTTTTTTACAGCTGTCGTTAATTTTATTTTTTTTTTTCACGAGTCGGATCCACGACCTGTCAATCAATCCAGTAGGCGTGTCGGCAAATGACCGATCTGAAACTAAATGAGTCGTAATATTATCTGAACTCCGACACGATGAAGCAGAGTTTACCATTTTCACTGTGGTAAAATGAAGAATGTTTGTTAAACTTTATTGTTATTGACGCTCTTACTCAAAACATGTACCAACACTGCCACCTGCTGTTGTGTTTTTGTACGCTGCTTCTGGGATACATATACGTGACGTCATTACGTTCAGTTTGAAAACGGTGCTCAGTGAGAGAAACCGTAATCTGTTAGCACATCAGCATCAGATTATTATCAGTATCAGGACTTTGAACCTGTTTACAGTAAGGTGGTGCACTCCAGCTCTCTGCAGGTAAGGAGCATTTAGCTTCGGATTGGTCATTTGCTGACACGCCTACTGGATTGATTGACAGGTCGTGGATCTGACAGCTGTTAAAAAAAAAAAAAGAAAAATCTTGTATGACTTTATTCTCGTAATTTTATGGCTTTTAAATTTTTTTTCTTATCATGGCAATGTAATTTTTTTTTTTTTGCGTGGCCCTAAAGCTAAATTTTATTTAATTATTAATTTGTTAGCATGGCCTTAAAGCTCCGTCATAGCCTGTAACACAGCTGGTTAATATATATATATATATATATATATATACAGTAACCTACCAGGAAAAGTCATTGATCACCATCTTCATCTTAATTTCACTGGTCAGATTTTTTTTTACCTTTATTTATTTATACAGGTAGTCCCACTGAGTCACGAGGACCCACCCCCAAGAGAGACGTGTATATTTGAGCACCCGGTGTGACGAGACTAAATGTTTTGGTCACATGAAGCTCGTTAGCCTATTTAAAAAAAAAAATCTATAAATTAGCCGCAGCATTGTATAAGGCTGTGGTGTTCAAAGAGTGAAAAAAGTAGCAGCTTATAGTCTGGAGATTACGGTATTTACAAAGTGGGGAAACTGTAACAAAAAATTAAGAAATTTCAAAAAGTATTAAAATGTTGTGAATGATTTGAACGTTTCGACATTTAAATGGTGAAAGTGAAATTAAAATGGTGCGAGAAGTGGTTGCATGTCAAAGAAGTAAAGACGAGACAAAGAATAAAGAGAAACAGGATCACTATATCGTGAGTGAGAGATCTTACTGGCACACCTAGATTTTCTTAGAGTAGCCTGAGAGATTAAATCATTTGTGTTATTAAAAATCTAAATCAAAAGTGATTTAGTCCTTTTAGTTGCAGTAAAGGATTTAATGTGATGTGCAGCTTTTTTTTTTTTTACTGTACTCTAAATTAAAGTAACGTACGGTAATTTTGTGGGTTTGAGTATCTCTTACGGTAGAAGAGGAAACGTGCTCCATAATTAGTTTTCTGTCTCCGTGACAGATGTTTGACCCCCGCCTGTCTAAACGTCCTCTCTCTCCACCAGCGTTTTCCAAATGTCTCACCGGAAATTTCAGAACTTCTTCTTCGCTACAGAGACGGCCACCGACCTGAGCAAGTAAGAAAAAATGGAAAATCTTAAATAAGAGGTTCAAAAACGTGAAAAAAGATCAAAGGCTTATCACCAGAGTTTAAAACTGAGGTCATCTTACCTGAGGAAACGATAGAGTTGTAACTGTTTTGGACAAATCTTTAAAAGGAAGCTTTGAGTGTTTGTTGTGAAGGAGTCTCAGCTACTACCACCCCAATGTTTAGCTCTATATCTGTAAATCTGATGGAGTTAAAGCCGTTTTTGTTCTGTAAGACCAACCGGCTGTGGCAGTCATCGTGTTTTGGTTCGTCCCTAAATATTATTCATTTGTAGAAGTACATCCGCTGATTACTTTCTGAAAGTTGTGCTGAAACACGTCCACTGGTTTGAGAGATATTTTGCTAACAGACAATATTTGACGCTAATATTTATTGTCAAATGAAAAGCTTTTAACAAATATGTTGCTTTATATGTTAATGGTTAAAGGATGTATAGAGGATGACTCCCAGCTACTACCACTCCAAATTTTAGCACACTAGCTGTCAGATTGGCTAAGTTAGAGCTATATTTATCTTTACTAAGTTTGATGCACTGTGGCCGCCATCTTGAATTAGGTTGGCTCTAAAAGCTAATCGGTTATAGCCGTGCCTTTATTGAAAAATTAAGGGGAGTTTCATTAAAATCTGTTCAGTGGTTCCTGAGATATTTTGCTAACAGACACATGCACATGTGCATAAACACTATGAACTGCCCTTTACTCTTCAGCATTGTGCAACGTTAGAGCTTCTAAATGAAAGCCGGGAATATGTTTGGTGCATCAGCGTCGTAAAATGTTGCCGTTTATTCATTTCTTTTGATTTTATATAAATAATTTCTAGTTATGGTTGTTGGTGTGTATTGCCCCCTGCTGTTTACTTTTCCAGGGAAGCGATTAACTCTTTTAAAATTTAAGATGTAGTATGAGAACTTTAATAACCATAGAAACAAAGCTTATATTTATATATTTTATCTCCACAAGTTGATGTAACTTTTTTTCTTCAGGTGGATTAACTTCCTGATTTCAGCCACTCAGAAACACAAGAAGTTACAAAAAGGTCCAGATAGTGAAGAAGGTGAGGAAACTGTTATTTTTTTCTGCTTTTATTTTATTTTATTTTTCTGGGGTTGAAGTGCCAACATCAGTAAGGGGGAAAATGTTCTCATTCATCCTTTTCGCTCTCGTGCTTATGAATGATGGGGAGCTGCAAGTTACCAGAGGATGAAAGCTGTTTCCATGGTTACCTAGCAGGGAGTTAAAAGTAGTGGGGATGTGAGCGCACATTTCAGCTGATGTCCTCGTCTCACCTCCTTTAATGCTCTAACAGAATGCTACAGTGAAACTGAGTCGGAGAGCGAATCATCTCCTTCACCGCGCAGGAAGAACAAGGTCAGTGCAGCGACGAAACCAAACGAAACACACTTTGAGGTGCCGTCGGACTCACGTTAAGGTGATGGTTTTCACTGGTTGCCTCACAAGGTGCAGTACAGCACGCTGCCTCGACCCAAAGGGAAACCAAACAAAGCACCTTTACCGATTGCTTCAACAGAGGGCAGCAAAGGAACAGGTATATTTACATCCATCAACTCTTGTCTCTTTGTTGCTTGTAATGCTTTGGCTGAAGGTAGTGTAGTGTAGTGTCTGTGAATGTGTCCGTCTAGTGAATGTTTTTTAATGAAACTTAGAAAGTAATCAGGGTTGACAACTACAACCAATTAACTTTTGGAGTCAACCCAATTCAAGATGGCCGCCACAGCTAATCCCACTCTTAAAACACAAGAATGGCTACAACTGTAAAGTTAGATGTAGGAGCTGAGACTGATGCCCGACTTGTGCTCTGATACCACATGAGCTGTTGTCAAAACTTTGGCATTACCTAATAAAGTCAACCGTGTCTGTTAGTAAAATATCTCATGAAAGTGCTATGTACAGTAGTCCCTCGTTTATCGCGGGTGTTAGGGACCACGCCCCCCGCGATAAGTGCAAAATCGCAAAGTAGGAAACAGTAGTCCAAGTTGAAGTAAACTTTGTCATTACCATCTCATGTGGTACATGAGATGGAATGAAATTATGTACACAAGTAGTTTTAGTAGTAGTACTAGTAGTTTATTTTAGTATTTACTGTAGTAGTAGTTTGTTTTAGTTTTTACAGGTATACATTAAGGCGTTTTAAACCCTTCCCACACTCTTGCAATGTTTTAAACTCTTAAACCTACATCATGTTAACAACATACAGTACTGTATATGTAGCTACAACATTTTACTTACTGCAGAACAGGAGCGGTCCGACTTTGTTCTGTTTCTGCAGATGTACCCTGCAGCAGCCCACAATCAATGTTCTAAACTCTTAATCCTACAAATTTTAACAACATACTGCACTTATATGTAACTGCTAAATTTTGCTTACCAGCATGTCCCTGCTTGGAGGTCCTCGTCGGCCAGTTGAAAGATGTGAAATAAGTCCCGTTAAGCTTCAGATGGATCATCGGCCTCTTGCGTCCCGCTCAGGGTTCGTCGTTGGCCAGTTGAAACAGATGAATATAGTCCCGTTAAGCTCCGGATGGATCACCGGATCATCGACCGCGCGCGTCCCGCTCAGGGCTCTTTGTGGGTCGGTTGAAAGAGATGAAAAAAGTCCTGATGGACTCCGGACGAATCGTCAGACCTTTGGCCATGCGCATTTGCTCGGAGGTCCACGTGGGCGGGCTACCAGCTCTCAAGATTCACCGATGGTTCTGGAAGTCTTGTTCTTCTCCGGGGGCATCAATCAGATCAAAACTTTACTGTATCTCTGCTTTTTCCAGCAGAAGGCAACAGGGCTTCTGAGCGGGGCCCTGTTGCCTTCTGGGAAATGAGGTCATTATGAGCGGGAATACAGTGGAGGCTTACAGAGAGAAAACTACAAAATGTCCAAAAAATTTTTTCATTAACTTTTTACTGTACAGTATGTATCCAGTACTGTCCCAATCACGTGAGTGATATAGTATATATATTTTTTCAGTATCGTATATTAGGACTGTAGGTTCACAAACCGCGATAGAGCGAGTCTGCGGAAGTCAAACCACCAAGTAGTGAGGGACTACTGTACTATCACTGTATGTTTCTATAAATGATTAAATTAGTTCTCTGCATTTAACCCATCACACATGAGACACACCCAGGTGGAGCAGCGGGCAGCTGTTGGGGAGTTGAACCTGTGGCTTTCTGGTCCCAAGTTGGCCACCTTACCACTGCACCACAGCCAAACCGCTGAACAGATTTGAATGAAATTTTGAAAAAGTTATTATCTATCATGCATTTTCAGCTGATTAATTTATGAAGTCGTATCAAGATGGCTGTCAACACTAACTGGCACTAACCAGCACAAAAATGTCTTTAACTTAGTCCCTTTTAAAGATATTGAGCTAAATGTTACAGTGAGCTCGACATCCCATAATATCATGTCACATTATTTTCAGAGTTGGACCAGGAGGGCTGATCTCAGTCTGAAACACTGGCTGGCATGGAAGAGTGATTTACATCCACATCCTTCAGGGACTGATAGGCGTTTAATTTGAATTTGATGAACAGTTTTTTAATGAGTCCAAACACAGTTTCATCTGTCGGTGTCACGGTTGGTGGGAGTCGGGCCCAGGAACACGAGGAACTTGAGTCAAGACTTAATAATTAAAGAGACTTTAGGAAACAAAATTCTGCAATGGCACCAAACTTATGAGATAAATAAAAGAAACTCTGAAGAACCAGTCGGCACACAAAGCACAACAACCGGGAGGTGCAGACTGAGACTAAAGCGACTGGGGCTGATGAGTAAATGTGAGGCAGGTGGCTCAATGATAACAGGGAACAGGTGTAAGTGGGCGTGGCAGGAACGAACAAGAAACGTAACTTAGAAAAAACAAATTCAGACACGGGTAAACATTTTCTCTTTATTAAAGCCATGCCCAGTGACATTTTGTGTCCGTTCCCTCGAGAAGCCGCCCCAGTTGACGAGATGGGCATGATGCTGAACAACCTGAAGGAAGGAGGAGTGTCCCTGATGGGCCACGAGCAGCCGCTGACTCAAGATCACTTCAGGAAATCCTTCATCCGACGCAACAAGAATCCTGTCATCAACGAGAAGGCGCTCACGCTGCGAGCCCTGCAGAGCACTCTGAAGGTGAGCGGGGGGAGTTTGACCCACTTTGTTCGGCTCGGGTTACTTTTCCATGTCAGCATGGGATTAAAGATTGACTCAGGCGAGCTAAATTTAGCTGATTCAGTCGCTAATCGTTTGAGGGATTAGTCAACACGAGCTGCGTTTAGGAACATGTTCTCAGGTAATCAGGAGTCAGGAGCTATTTGATCTGTTTACAGTGTTGTTTCACCTCAGCTGCTTGGACGCTGACGTTTCTTTGCTTCGCAGGCCAAGGAGGCGGAGCTTCAGCAGGTCAACAAGATCCTGGACGACCCAAATCTGACGGCGTCCAGGTTCCGTCAGTGGAAGGAGCAAAACGAGGAGCTGATGCTAGAGATCCAAAAACTGGTCTCGCAGAAAGCCTCTGCTGCGCCGGAGCAGGGCACGCCTGCCGTGAAGGTTGCCCTGGAAACTGTTGCTAAGGAACCAGCCGCAGCCGAGACGGAAGGCGCTTACGGACTGAGCCTGAGCGAAGGCGAGCAGCTGGTTGACGCGGAGCTGTCGGAGCTGGATGTTTTCCTGGAGATCCCGCCGGGGTCTCCGAGTCCTGCGTCGAGCCTGGAGCTGGACCTTTCTCTGGGCTCGCTGGTGGACTCGATAAACAAACAGCTGAGCGAAAACGCCGGCGCTGTTGAGAGCTCCTTCTATATTTGAGATCACGGCGCAAAGCGAGTGTGGAAAAGGCTCGTTCGACGGTTTTCTGCTGAAGCTCACCTGCTGGATCGTTTCACATCAGTCCGTGCTTCAATCAAACGCACCGTGGAAAAGCACATGTAGAGACTCGATGCTTTAGAGAATAAACCTGCAATGTGACTCGTTTACAACAGTAAAATATTCACCTGCCAAGTGTTCTGGACATATTTTATAAAATTCTGAGAGTGTCTTGTTTTTAAATATTAAAAAAAATAATAATTATTATTATAATCTCTTGGAATTCATGGAGAACTTTTAATATAAATCATGCCTTTTAAATGTGATGTGTAAATATAGTTTTAGCATCAATGTATTTGTTTACTGATATTACCTTAATAAAGGTACGTATGATGAGCAATGTTTCACAGAACGGTCACTTGAAATATGATGCTCTGTTTTTTTTTTTTATTTGTCTTTTTCAGCGCAGCTTTAATGAACCTCTCGTGTGCATTTGCTTCAGTAACCTTGTCCTGAAGCAGTTCCTTGAACGCATCAAGGCTAATGGAGAGCGTTTAGTGCTGAAACGTGTTCTGAAACACAACCGCGTGACGCCGAGGAGAAAAAGTGCCTGATCTGCACACGGCTCCGCTCACGGGACTGAAGCAGAACGCTTTTATTGTACAGATTTTAAGATCTAAAGTCTAAATAGCTTCAGTGCTGCTAGTTTTCTATGTATTGATCAAAACTTTGGTGTGGTAGTAGCTGAGACTGATCCCCAACACGTTATGAAGGATGAGCTCAGTCTAAAACTAGCAAGAAGATTAGCGGGCGATATGCATTTCCTCAAGGAAGTGACGAGCTTTAATAATTTCTTCCGAGTTAATATTTAAAATGGTCCTGAGCAAAAATTAATTTTACTTTCCAAATGTTTTATTTTATTCTTTTTAACATTTGCTGCATTTCAGTCATAATCAGTTCGGTACCTGAGCATTTTTAGAGTATTTTTGTTGGTTAAAGCACCTAAATAACTATATATTACTCAACTATATATATATATATATATATATATATCGATATATATCTATATATCGATATATTGGGGATGCACAATATTATCGACATGGCATCATCTCTATCGGTCTATACTGGCGATAAAGTTAAATATCGGATATTGGCCATTCTATCAAAATAACTCATCGATATAAAAGGCTGACACAAAGCAATTTGTTCCCATTTCTTTAGCTACAATCTATGAAAAATTCAAAAAGTAATGCTGCTTCCAAAACTTGTATTAGCTGAATAGAACTGCAGGATGAGTCACGTCTCAGGTCCTGCATCAGGCTTGTGCAGATTTTTTTTTCTGATCTATAAGGCATGACGTTCAGATTTTCATCTGCTGGAGAGAAACTTATTTATGCATGACCCCATTTTTATTTTTGTCTCTGCTCATCGTTTTTATTTGAAGCGCACGCTGCACTGCCATGGTCGGGTACAAGGAGTGGAAAGAAAACAAAAAACAGACTGAAGAACTATGGATCAAAACCACTTTAAAAGATTACGAGTGGCCTTGAAGCAAAATATAAAGCAGTTTTAAGGTAAACTGCACAGTCCTGTATGCTGCGTGTTCATTTCAGCTGCAGGTTTTCAAAGCAAAAACTGATAAAACCACGCAGCGTATTAAAAGTCGAGTATTTTTACCATAATTATGTGTACTCGATGTTTTTCTGTTTGTCCCATTTTCAGACCTACGACATGCCTTTATTTGTGCATCTTTGTGCCTGATTGCTATGATCAGGTCTTGATACTTGCTGGCTGCAGATGAATCGGTCAGCTGCTCTTTTATTGACTTAACGGTGCAATCACATCATCTGATGGAACGAGGCTGCTTCTGTTGACTCGCTCTGATAACCGCTGGCCGTGATGATCTCTGCCTCACAGCTTTGTGCTGAAAAAGGAAGATTTTCCTTTGAAACGCATCAGAAAACTCAGATTAGCACACACGGAACATGTAATCTGCTCGTTCTGATTTTAAATCTACATTTTTTTTAGGATTTACCGTACTTGCCGTCATACTAGTCACACCGCTGTATAAGTTGCATCAGTCCAAATATGTCTATTAAAGTGGGAAAAAAAAACATAAATACGTCACTTTGCCGTATAAGTCGCATCTATTATGCGTCACCGCTGACGAGCCGGAAATGTGGTCCGGTGTTGTGCCAAAAATCAATTTGCTGCCAAATGGCAGCCGTGGGAATGTGCATGGGAGGGCTTTAACAAGATTAACACTTAAAAACAATTGTTTGTTTGCTCGACATTATAGTAAAGGTGTGTCTCAGTTGAACTTTTTATTAATAAATGCACGTTGACGGTCACATCAGCTGCATTTCTCCTGGGCGGTGAAATGCAGCTGATGTGACGTTTGCTCCAGGAGTTCCGGAGCGAGATGAAGGTGGCTTGGTATGGCAAGCCAAGTGTCGGTTTTATTTATTTATTTATTTTTGTATCTTGAGATCTATGACGTCATCAAATACTCGATTTCTACTCGGGTTTTATTATGTTAATGTCGAGTTTAAAATTATATACTCGTTCAACCCCTATGTCTCATTAATAGCCACTTTTGCTTATTAATGAGACACTTGGCTTGCCATATTGGTCGAGGGCCCCCTAGAGGCTGAAAATGGTAGTGTTCAATATTTTCAGTCAGAATGAATGAAATCGTCAGATCTCAGCCCAAAATTAGGTTATAAATATGGGAGAAAAAAACATATATTACCATATTTTTCTCCCTATAAGTCACAGGGTTTTTTTGCATAATTTGCATGCCCTGCGACTTGTTCCCCCCCCCCCCCCCCCATATTTATAAACCAGTTTTTGGCTGAGATATGTTTTCATTAATTCTGACTGAAAATATTGAACACTACCATTTTCAGTCACTAGATGGCACTCAAGTAGTATAGCATGCAGTTGTCATGTAATACGTAAAAGTGGCTATTAACGACACAATCAGCTTGCCATACCCTGCCACCTTCGTCCAGCACCAGGATCATGCATGGAGCAACAGTCAAATCGGCTTCATGTTGCTGCACCGCCCCGGCGAAATGCAGCAAATTTTACCATTAAAGTGCATCTATTAAGTAAAAGTTCAACCGAGACACACCTTTACTAAAATGATGAGCAAACAAATAATTGTTTTAGGTGCTTATCTTGTTAAATTTCAAAGAAATATGCACCGTTCCTCCTTCCTGATTTCCTCCCTCTGCGCGCTTCCGAAATGCAGCTGATTTGACCGTCAAAGTGCTTTTATTAAGGAAAAGTCAAGCTGAGACACACCTTTACTATAATTTAGAGCGAACAAATAATTGTTTTAAAATGTTAATCTTGTTAAATTCTTGTTAAAGTCCTCCCGTGCACGCTCCCGCGGCCACTATTTGGCAGCCCATCGATTTTTAGCACAACACCGGCCCACATTTCCGGGTTCGTCCCACATTTACGGATTGTCAGCGGTGACGTATATGGCAAAGCAACCAATTTACATTGTTTTCCACTTTATTGGACATATTTGGACTGATGCGACTTATAGGGTGGTGCAACAAGTACGGCGGAAAGTACGGAAGTCGCTTCTGTGTATAAGTCGCAGGACTTGCAAATTTATGCAAAAAGGTGAGACTTATACAGCGAAAAATACGGTATGTGTGGAAAAACAGAATTTTGAGCTCACGGTTTACAGCTGTCTCAGTAAAATGTTTTATTAAATTTTCTTTGCACCAAAACAATTCTACAACAAATCATACGCAAGAAATAAACAATTTTACATGCTTCTTGTCATAACTCAGTTTATGACATCACAGTCAAATGAAGGCTTGGTCAGAACAATAACAAAAAAAAAAAAAGTTGAACAATACAAATGAATGTGACTTTCATTGAGACACGTTTGTGAATCCTAAAGATGGTTGTGTTCATTAGTTTGATTTAACCTTCTGTTTGAAAAAATAACGTAAAGATGGGAAATACAAATGACATCCTCTGCTGAAATCTTCACCGACATCTTTTAGCTACTATTTCTGATTAATGACAAATATTTTACACTTCACAGTCTTGTTCAGACACAAACAGTTCTGCTAACAGTATTAACAGCATCACTAAAGTAACATTGCCCTTCGTGTTGCTTCTCCACTATTATTTATTTAGCTGCAACATCCAACATCGCATCACAAATTAAGCTTGTAGCTACATTCTAGAGGCTCACACCTGCTGCACTATTACTTATTTCTATAATTTACCTAATCAGTCAACCATTTCTTCTGCTTTCAGAATTCATGTTCTTTGAATCACTTTTTATAACCGTTGTCAGATTCATCTGCTAATTTACCCAGTTTTCTTATTTTTTCTCGCTAAGTGTCTGTATGTCTAACAGCTAACTTCATACACGTCCATGTCTGTCTTGCTGGAGAGCTCCGGGCACGAGCGACAGGCAGGACAGACGGCCTGCTCCTGGCGGGGCGGGCAGGCGGGGCATCGGGGTCGTTTGAAGCTGAGCAGCAGCGCAGTCCCTCCCAGCACCTGCAGACACGAGCCCAGCCACCCGAAGTACAGCGATCCAGCTGCGTTCAGGCTGAGCTGGGGGAACCTGGGGTTACCGATCCCTCGACTCGGATCCGCCCCAAGTCTTCTGAGGTTGTGGGTGTACACCCCCAGTCCAGTCAGGCTCAGAAGCCCAGCAGTCACCACCAGGATCCCCCCTGAAGCTGCCACCCTCCTCAGAGGCAGATCTGTCCAGCATCTGACCCCGATGCAGGCCAGAATGATGCCAACGCCGCACAGGAACAAGGAGGTGAGCATCAGGCCCTGCACCAGCCGAACCCGCGAGTCTCTCTTGTATGGACCAGACACGGGCCAGCACTGCTTTAGCTCTGAGCGCTCTACCTGCAGGCAGCTCTCCCAGAGGCCGTCAGAGCGCAGTAAGAGCAGGGCCTCCGCTGAGCCCGACCTGACACCAGTCCCTTGACCTTTTGTCCCCGATCGGAGATAAGACCCAGGTCCTCCGATGTTCAGCCGGGCCTGTCCCTCCCTCCACTGAGGGGTGATGGCTGCAGTGAAGACGAGGACCAGTCCCAAAGGCGCAAAGACAATCCCCATCACCATGGAGGCTGGCGTGTGCATTATCAGTTTGGAAACCTGGAGTTTCTAGTTGAAATCCAACTCGCGGCGCTCAGCGAGGACGGACGAGAAGAGTCCAGACAGCGAGGACGCTCGTTCAGTGCGACTCTGCAGAAATGTGAAGCACAGCCGTCAGAATGTAGACGCTAAAAACCACGAATCAAAGCTCATCCCGTACCGCTTTGTTGAAACCGTTTTCTCCTGTAGCTGCAGGCCGTCCATCCTGAGCGAGAGAAAAAGATGGAGTTAAGAGTAAGAAGCGGTGTGAGGTGGATGAAGCAGAGGTGGCTGCACTGCTCCGGTGCTGGACAGGAGAACAGAGGATGGCTGTCTCTGTTGCTAGGATACGGCAACATGGCCAGTCTCATCATGACAGCTGTGTGCGCGTGTGGCTGTACTGATGAGAAGACCTTGCTGGACTTTTTCTCTGTATGTTTGTTTTATGCAAACACGAACCGTGCTCAGCTGCGTGCACACGAGGGAGCTGTTCTCTGAGCATCTGACACGGTTACGAGCTAAACGTGACCTTGGAGGAATTCGGTCGCTCAGGAATGGTGTTGGGTCTGGTGTCGGAGCGAAAGGTGACTTCATCTCCAGAGTCTCCTGCCTGATCTAGGACCAAAAGAATGTCGGAAAATACACACGACCGAAGAAGAGTTTTACGAGTCGTTAATTTTCATCTTTGTTGAACACCAAGAAGAAACAGTGAATGTGTTTTTACTGTAAAACTTAAAGGTCGACGAGATGATTTTTGCATTTTAAACCAAGAAAGCGTCAGATTTCCACAAAAAGAAGTGAATATTTTTGTAAAATTGCAATTTAGTCCCAACATTTTTGTCTCCTTGTACATTTTGTTATGTATTCTTTCTGCAGTTATCATCTAATCTGTTACATTTTTGGGAAGTTTTGCAGAAAGAGGCCAGAAGGCAAGGAGGACAAAAACAGTCTGAAGCAAAAATATTCGAGGCAACGTCTGTCGACAAGATGGAAATTTCCTTCACAGATCAACAGGAAGATACTGACGCACAATAAATCTGTTTTGTAAGATGGAAAAACGAAATATTTATAGTTAAAGAAGACTTCAGCTGGATGAGACGCGTAGAAAATGTAACATTTAAATTAAATAGGTTTTAAGATTACTTCAAGATGCACAAATTAATCCAAAAAAAGGTTTCTGCAAACTAAATTATGACATAAAACACACCAGTATAAGCTTTAAAACAATGAAAAGCAACGTTTAAATAAAGGCTACGAACAAAAACAACAAGTAGCACTTAAAAATGTGATTTGTTTCTGTTCCGTGCGACGGCTGTGATGAGCGTCTGAAGTCAAGAACTCAGTTAAACACGATGTCACTTTGTTTGTCCTCCTGGGGTTGAAAATATTCCACTCGTTGAGTTGCTCAGTGCTGCAGGGTAACCACGCATCAGGTCTTCACCTCTGAGCCCAATAAATCCAACCAGCTCATTTTTCTAGTCTCCCTAATTTGATGTTAACCAGCGCTGCGTTCACTGGACCTCTGGGATGGGGACTCCTTTTCTTTGGCTGTTAATGATAAATTACCCCAAATAATAATAATAAGTATTTTAGAAGAAAATACGTTAATCTTAGCACTTAATTGTGTTACAGTCAAGTCAAAAAGCATGATTATTATTATATTATCATCATCATCATCATCATCATCATCATCATCATCATCATCATCATCATCATCATCATCATCATCATTATTGTTGTTATTATAATTTTTTATTATTATTCATCCATCAAATTTTTACCTGCTTCTTCCTTTTCAGGTCGAGGGGGTCACTGGAGCTTTTATTATTATTAGTTGTTGTTGTTGTTGTTGTTGTTGTTGTTGTTGTTGTTGTTGTTGT